TAAAGGTTAATCTATTTTTTTAAATAATAATATAGTATGTTTTTTTCAATATTTTAAAATTTAATAAATATATTTTTTATATTTTTTAATTAATAATTATTTTTAAAAAATTTTAAAATTATGCTTATTGTTTTAATTAAAAATATAAATAAATTTAATATATATTTTAAAATATAATAGATTAAATTCGCTATACTGGATATAATTAATATTTTATTAATAAATCCATTATAACGTAATAACAGATATTCATTATAATGGATAAATTTTCTTGACCCAATCAATCCGTTATAATGAGGGTATACTGTAATTATAAATTTTTGCCAAGCTTGGTTCCAAATATATATAATACTTAGAAAATATTAAATTAGATAAGAAACGATTATAGATAATTTATTTTTATTAGACAATATTGTCTAATTTCACGTGTGTTTTTATCTTTCATTATTATATGAAAATTAATTATGCATAAGGCTGCTATCATAAAAAATGAGAATTCATATTTTCATATTGTTTATTTATTTCAGGAGTTTTAACGAGTCGCGAAACTCTAATTTCAACAGCAGTGTGGTGATTCTGCCATCAATTTTGTGACACGTCAATATAATTAAAAACAAAAAAACACGTGAATAAATAAATCTCTATATTTCTTCTTTGTGAAGAGAATTGTTACTTTTTTCTACATTTTCAGGAAATGAATTTCCCACTATAATTTCAATCTTATCATCTATTTCATCATTGATTTCTATCATATCTTGATTTGCGCTCCCTTCGTTTACCCTCCCCCCTTTTTGCATTCTTTCCCCTCCGCCCTCATCATAATCAGTGGAAAACGGGTACATGGAAGTAGAGTCTGTGATGATCTTACTTTTTTTGTTTTCCGAATTCGAGATATCATTTAAATTCGGTTGGTATGGGGCAGAAAGCGGTTCGCTCTCCGATCGAATCATTGGTGTTACATGCTTTTCATCGTTGATCGGCATATAAGCCATTCGCATTTCTTTCGGGGAACCAATGAATTCTTTTTTTATTTTTTCCGTTCCAAGTTTTATTCTCAGATCATCTCTGGAGTGAATCCTTGAAAAAGGTTTCCCAATTCTTCGTAAAGTATTCATCGGAGATATTCTCAATCCTTTCGGCACAGAATGCTTTACTCCGTCCGCGGAATTCTGAGTACTACTCCGACTGAAGGTATCGGTAGTCTTTGATTTCTTCCATTTCCATGATTTCATACTATTTGCGTTTGAATCCTGCATCGTACCTTCGTCATTATCATCATCCTTGTCGTCATTCTTTCGAAAGCTTTTAATTCCAAGATCATTAAAGCGACTGAGGTTTTTGTTGATGCGTTTATATTGTTCCACCTTGTCCTCCAACTCGTTGATCCTTCCGCAAGCTTTTAAATACATGGATTTGAGATCCCTGTACTTACGATAATATTTGGGTGGGTTAAAGTTGGCCAAAAGTTCTTGTATATCCGCGATTGCATGGAACATTGCTTCGTTGTTGACCTCAAGATCTCTCATTCTTTTTGTATCGTCAGTCTCGTTCTTATTAAGTTCTTCAAATTGTTTCTGTAGTCTCGTCTGAAATTGAAGACGCTGATGGAGTGACCATTCGGTCACGAGATTAGATCCAAGGATGGATGTAGGTAAGGCTATGACCAATATACCGCAAAGCATAGTAAACCCAGCGATAAGTTTACCCAATGGCGTGGCGGGAACGCTATCGCCGTAACCGGTTGTGGTTAACGTGACCATGGACCACCAGAAACAGTGAACGATCGATTGAAAAGGACTCTTTTCGACAACACCGTCTTCGTTGACACGGTAGTAAACATTGTCATTGGAAAGCGAACCACGTTCTAACGGCCACATTACGGCGGATGACACGAGAATGATGAGAAGGACATACACAAAGACTATAAAAATTTGATATGCTGAGCGAGCAAACACTCGGTACGTGATCTACAACGAAAAATACAAGGGAAGTTAATAATGTGATAGTATTTATAGACGTTAATAAATAAATATCAATATATCAAAGTACGTACAACAAATCCAGTTCGGTATTTTGTAATTTGAAGTAATTTAACGACTTTGAGTAGTCGAGGTGTCCTAAGGAGTTTGAATGTGGTATCTACGGACAACTGATCTATATAATTAATCACGCAACAACAAATGAAATATACAATTCAAGTGTTTACAGAATTGAATAAATTGATAATTACTTTTGCGCCGGCGGTCACGAGTTGAACGAAGAAAGGAAGGATCGAAATGAGGTCAATCATGTTTGTTAGCGCTGTGAACGTATAAGAGAACTGAGATTAAAATATGTCAACTGAGCAGTTCATCAAATATAAAAAATTGTCATAACGAGTGTGTCTACCGAAAACAAATTTTCGTTTATTCGTCGCGGCGTAAAATCGCCCGAAATATTCCACCAGAAATATGAGGACGTTAACGGCGTCCAATAAAATCCTAAAGTTGTGAAAGGAAAGAGTTAGATGTGGGGAATCATCATATGATGCATGATGCCACGTATTATTTACCATAAGTCGAAATAAATGGTTTTATCCCATATGATGGTCGGTATGGACTCAACACAAACCATCGCTATGGTGACTATGATGACGATTGACGAGAACCAAGCGAAAATCTTTGCCGAAAGTGTCGAGGGTTCTTCAAAGAAATAATAAAGTTTCTTTTGCAATTCCGTTCTACGAAAATTCTCATCCATGAACGGTTTCACTTTCTAAAATAAGCTGTTATTTAATTATAGATGAAATGCGTTGTTCGCTCAATCAACCGAAAATTTTTAATGGAACCTACTTTTACGCTTTCCTCGGATTCGCTTTCTGATTTGTCATCATTACCCGTCGACCGATTATTATTGGAAAGGTTTTGTGAAACAGGACCTTCGGTAATGTCCTCCCTGTCATGTGTCGATCAGGTTGATCCGGCAGTGTGGGGGATTAATTAATTAAATGGTAATCGTCATGAGAAGAAAAATTCACTGAGAAAAAGAAAAAAATGGAAGCGAAAACTACCTCGAGGAATGTAGAGGATGGATGATACTCGGAGCCCTTTTCGTGCCGGGAATCCAGGAATCATCATGGATTTCGCTGTGCAAGCTCATTTCGTTTTGAATACGCGAAGGCGGCTTATAAAATTCGACCGAAGGAAACTTGGCGATATCTTCACTGCTATGACTGATGAAATGGTCTTGAATTGTAAAACTTTCCCTTAACGAAGAAGATTGCTTTGATAGCTCCATTAAAGGAAAACAAAAGGGTAACGTTTTTTCGTTTTTCGTTTTTTTTTTTTTTCTTGGGATGCGAGAGAAAAGAGAAAAAGAAGAGAAGCAACAATGTCTAGCCAGGAGCTTTCTTTTTTAAAAAAAAAAATTATGATGATGCGGATAATATTTGATTATTAAACATTCCAAAATTGGATGGACCGGTAATCTGCGTATTACAGTGTGAAGCACCACTTGATAAGGAATTTCAAATTTAATTTCATCGAATTTAAATGAATCCTATTGTATCTTTTTAAAGTTTTTTCCAGAATAATAAATATATGTGGGCTGATTACAAAAATAACTTTTTTTTGTTTAGAAACGAAAACGCACGCGCAAATGTATGAGTGTCTTGTTACATCATTATGCACACTACTTCATTGGTGGTGTCGCGCCAGTCATGTGTTCGATTGTCGCTCATAATATTGACTCGGAAAATTTTTAATTACCTGTCATCTGTCATCAGTTATCTGCAGAACCTTCTTTTACTGTCCGTTCTTCATCTATCAACACAATTATCGGCAGGATCTTTACTGTCTGTCTGTCATCTCTCTTATCTCTAAGATGGCTTATCTTTGGATTTTTTGAAAAGTTTTAAACTTTTACATATCTCGCACCACCTTCCTAATCTCTTATTTCTCGCAGAGGTCTGAGTCATGATGAACCGGTATTGTAAAACTGCGTTTCGACCCTTCCTTATCGGATTGATATCTGCTCTTTGTGTATTTCCAGCCGCTGCCTATCATCATTCTAATTTCGATAATCGTGAGAACATAAAAATTCTGGATTCATCGAACTTTCCACAGAACTCGTTTCAATCCAATCAAAGGGTTCTGGATGATTTGGATACTATGTTTTTAGAAGAGATTTTACCCAGTGTGTCAGTGTTCACAAACCAAGGGAATGTTTTGCAGGTTTTTGAGAAACGATGATTTCCGTTTTCTTTGTCTGCAATATCAACAAAAGCATCCGTTACTAACTACAATATTAATTATTCAGGCTTCAAGCCTCACGTGTAACATCTGCAGTAGCGTTGCAGGTCGGATTAAAGAATTCATGATGCTAAATATTACACAAAAATTCACTGTGAAACAAGGCATCCTGATTTGTACACTCTTGAAGATGCAAACCCGTCGCGTGGTACATTTGTGCACATTTTCCTTTTTTTCTACATTTCAATTAGCTGACGTCATCGTTAAATACAGTGTTCCAAAATCATTCCCAAATTTGGACCCTGGGTCATGACAGTTCTTGCGCATTCTGTATTTTCCGCGGAAAATTTGTGCTCCAAGGCCCATTTGTGTCCAAAGCCTGACACAAGGAATCCCGAGAAAATCGACCTCCCGAGGTCACCTACCAAGATACTCACTCCGACATCCGGAGAAGGTGATGGTGAAAGATTGTGGGTGATTCATTTGAGTGACTGGCACTACGATCTCGAATACAAGGAAGGATATGAGGCAAATTGTGGGGAACCAGTTTGCTGCCGACCGCCGAATTCTTTCGGTGATAAAGCCAGGAACCCAGCGGGTAAATGGGGTGACTACAATTGCGGTATATTTTCGCATCGTCATGACTTGATCAATTATCTGGAAAGTCTAGTAATCTCACGCGTTTATTTCAGACATTCCCAAGTTGTTGATAGAGAATATGTTGGAATTTATTCCAACCGTGGTGCCCCGATTGGATTACATCCTATCCACCGGGTAATTCCCAATGATCATTAATGGTGAAAAACGTATTTCTAATCAATACACTTATTCATTTGTTTTGTCGATTAAAAAATCCAGAGATCTTCCTCCACACGGTAATTCTAAGATTTATTTCTGTTCAATGAACATTCCGACATCTAATTCTTTAATCTTTGAGATAGATGTTTGGTCCGAAACGCAATCATCCATAAGGGAAATCACCAATCAAACTGCATCGATTTGGCGTAAATTCTTTAAATCCACACCATTTTTCCCTATCATCGGTAATCACGAATCCGCGCCGGTAAATTCCTTTCCCACGTCATCAATCGGCATTTCCTCAGCTTCTTGGCTGTATGATATATTAGCGAAACAATGGAACGGTTGGCTTTCTCCCAATACTCAAAGATCTGTAGAGCAGAAAGGTTTTTACTCGGCAAGGTTGCCGAAAGATAATCTGCGAATAATTGGATTGAACACAAATTTTTGGTATAAATTCAATTGGTGGATGCTCATGAGGCCAAAAGAAGAATGGGATCCTGAGTGGATGTTAAAGTGGATGGTTGAACAGTTGCATGAAGCGGAGACACTTGGCGAAAAAGTTTGGATTCTGGGGGTAACTTCATTCTACGATCAATTGACCAAATTCTTTCCGTTGAGCTTTAAGGTCACATCGATCACCAACAATTCTCATATAGCATATGTCAGCAGTTGACCTTGACGCGTTCCCATCCTTTGGTGTATATTTCTCGCAAATCGTGGCCAGATTTAAGGACACCATTGTTGGTCAATTCTACGGTGCCTATCGAAATGCGATAATACACTTTACTTCCCAATGCCAATTTCTAATACAAACTTGTACATATTATAGGCCATTCTCATTGGGATGAATTCAACGTCATCTATGATAGTTCGGAAGGTCGAAACAAAATAGAACCCGTCGGTGTCGCGTATTTGGCTCCAAGCGTTACCTCATTCAAGAATGTGAATCCTGCGTTCAGGTATTCGTGTCATCAATCTAAAATTTGAGTTGATAAGTGAAGATATTGATTATCACCTCTTTCGCCGCAGAGTATATGAAGTCGATAAAAACTCAAAGCAAATAGTCAACCATTACACGTACTCAATGGATCTGAAGGAGGCAAACCGTAATGACAAACCAGAGTGGAAATTATTATATGATGCGAAATCTTTATACAGACTCGAAGATCTTCAACCCAAGAGTTGGCATGGTAGTAATATTGACTCGGATTATGTAAAAAACCTAAAACCCGAAGTAAATTTTTTGAATTTTAATGCAGCGCTCACCGAAAGATTCATTCATGACGAAAGTGTCTACAAAACCTTCCAGAGGATGGCATCTAGAGATCAACATCTTAACAAGTACGGCACGTGTCGTCAGTTCGAAAATCAACAACAGTGTCGCAATCGAATAGTCTGTAAACTTCGAGGAACATTTCATCGCCACGGCCCATTCCGTGACGATGAATTTTGCAAAAAACAAGTGTGGTTTCCATACTTACCCGAGGATTGGTCTTTGCCCCCCGCCATGGGCAAGCATGTGAACGTTCTGGTAGATCTGGATAAGGTCGATGCCGACGAATTAGGCAAGAAAGACATGAGGATCAAGGTTAACGTCGAGGGGAAAATTAGTGGATACGTAGAGAAGCGTGACAAAGGTGAAGACGAAGAGACTAGTGGGGTGACCTTTGAGGGACTTGCGAAGACTGTAGTACGACTGGTGACGGGACTGGTGATGGGTGGTGACGATGTGATGTGCCGTTAACAGGCACCCTTTTTTTTCATTTTTCGTTTGCTTCAGCGGTATTAAGAACGCACCTATAAAATGTTGTTTTCAATATATTACATTAGTTAAGATATCTACCATCATTGAAATCCCATGCATGATCTTGATTGAATTTTTCCTTTTCGGTCACCTTATGTAAAGTATAATAATACATTATCGTTGTTTTTAATAAATAGAATAGCATACATTTGTATATTGCAATCTTAATAGCATTATATATGTGTCTCTTTTAATAAAATATGTATTAACAGTATAAAAATATACTTAAAAAATATATATTACACTTAATATTTAATTATTACGATCCTATGTCACTCTCAAACGACTAGACGATCTTTGATTCGATGCATAGAACAACAACAATTCTTTATTGAAACCAGTTGATAAAATAAAATATGCTATTTATATGAGCATTTCGGTCCTAAATATAATTCACTTTCGCATATAGTCATAGTATAGAGCTAACCGTAATGAGATTTTATTCATGAATTCGTGTTATCAAAGATAACCATCTGAATAATGAACGAGAGATTTCGAATCCCTCAAAAAAATTGGACTATATAAAGAATGAAAGGAATAACACAATCTTGTTCTTTGTCTCTCCTAAAATGTGAGCCACAGAGCATACAATGCCATAGATATCACAGTCAACGTCGCCACGGTTGTAATTTTTGACCCTTCGGAGTTTTCTCGCTTACATTTGCAACGATCTTCTTCAGGGATATTTTTCATTACTATGGTTTGAGAAATAACGCAAGCACATTAAATTTGTGTTCCAAAAAAAAAAGGCTTATCTATCCGCTTACCAGAATCAACGTGACGGCCACATCCTGCCCACGTAAATTTGTGACAAGTTGGACATGTTACTTTCTAAATTGTGTAATTGTTTTGAATTTCGTTTCGCATATGTCTTGGCATTTTTGCATAATAAAAAATCAAAATTCGTACTTACATAACACATTTTCTTTAATTAAATTTGGAAAAAAAAAATGACGAAAGGTTGATACAAACTTGGCGACTTAAATATCGTTTTCAATGAAATGTAAATCATATGACATCATATAAATGTCTATTAATGGTCATATGTCCGATTATTGTGTATGAACACACATTGTAGTACAGTATTAGATAACATAACTGGCGTCAAAGTTAAAATCATGTAACTTATCCAGGACTAGTCACGCGGTCAAATTTTCTCTTGGCATTTTTTCGTATTATTAGTACTGTAGCAAATAAAGTTCGCATAAGTTTTACACATGCATATAAGATCACGTAACTTATGAATACTACGTACGATATTACGCGTATACTGTAGCAGGTAAAATCATCCCACTGACTAATGCGTGCGTCAGTGTAAGAATTAACTTCTTAAGCGATAATTTTTTCCCTTATATTGAATTTATAGCGTTGAGTCTATGTACTTGTGGCAGGAACCTTGCAATTGGATAAATAAGTTACCCATTTGAATATTTTCATTTGACTATTTGTTTTTCATCTATTTTTTTTTAAAGAAAAGAAGATTGACGTGATAAGGTATAGGAATTTAAATGTGAAGTTGAAATTCTTGAAGGAATAGGTAAATCCAACGATAGAAAATGAATATACTGTATACAATATGTTTCAAAATTTTTTGACTCAACTTATTATCAATTTGAAGTTTGAGTAATAATAAACATTTTAGATAAAAATATTTCTTTAATCTTTATCAAATTAAAAAATAATTTGATTTTTATTCTTAAATTAAATATTATATTGATTTATGCCTGTCGCGGGTGATCTCACAAAGGTCACATGTTACGATGATTAGGTAGATGATTAATGTTAAGATTTTATAAAGATAAATATTATCATTAATAATACATTTTCTCGTGAATTAAATAGAACTTGAATTCACCTTTGATTATACAGAATAATCAAAATGTGTAGTTACAATATATTATTTGATCTTCTATATTCATACATTCTTTATATTATCTGCATTTGAAATAAACCTTTTAATCAAGAAAAAAACATGTTTGAAAATCTGCTTTTCTCTTGAATTGTATTAAAAAAACTCGATAGTTATTTTTTCTTGAAGTTTCTTTTTACTTATTTTTAACCTTTGAAATCTTTATCTACAGTATCTCTATATACTTTTTTAAAAATAATTTGATGGTTATCTATAGTGTTTAAGCATTTTCTCTTTTGGTATATATAAAAAAATTAAAATTATTTGCTTTTATTAGCCAATTAATATTTTGATTTTAATTGTTTTAAATGTTAAACCAAATTCAACATATTTATTAAAAACTTAATATACAATTTAATACATTATTTAATAATTCGTATAATTAATACAGTAAATTTCAATTACGTATATCATATTTTTTTATTTTATTTGTCAAAGCCTATACTATTAATACAGATCGATCATATACAGTATATTCTTGTAATTAAACTATTATATTATCAATATTATTGTATATTTTATATGGCAATTGAATTATTTAATCAAAATATATAATATATAACAAGATTATATATATTGTATATATGGTTATCTTTTTTAAAATAATAAATAAATATTAGAAATAATATTTCTTATATATATTTGTAATAAATTAAATGCTAACTTGTCTATAATAATTATTTGACTTATAATAAAAAAAGAACTTTTAAACTAATATAATTATTAAATAATATTAAGCAACTATTACTAGTTCAAATATGATATTTAATATATAAAAACATTATAATGTTAGAATTAATAAAAAAAAACTTTATTAAATATAAAAGAAATATTATTTTTCAAAAAAAAAATAACTTTCTTATATCAATACTTTTTTTATATAAATAAATAAAATAATAATACATAATATAATATAATATATATAATTTTATTGATTCTTTTATCAAGAAATTTTTTAGAAAGTTATTTATCAATAGTTAATCAATAATCACTAATAATTGATTATAATTAATTGATAAGTATTAATAGTAATGCTTTTTATCAATTAATATCAAAAATAAAAAATTGTTTATAATTAATATATATCAATACTAATATAAATTATATTTTATTTGATATATAGGTTTTAATTTTTAATAATAAAAGCTATGTATCATTAGAAAACAATATAATTAATTTCAATATTAATCAATTTTATTTAATTCCATAGATTAAAATTAAAATATAGAATCATTTACTAAATATTTATTTAATTTATCAAATCTTGGAACTATATACTATATATGCTTTTATCTATACTATTTATTAGTATACAACTATATTGTTCAAATAATTCTAATTTTTGATATCCTCACAATTCATCCTCTCCTTAATACCAATGAATATAAACAAGTTCAAATAGTTTACTATCTTCAAATTTATAAAATTTAAATATTAACAATATCTAAATAAAATATTAAATTAATATAATAATTTTATTATTTATATTAATATAATTTAAATTCAATTGCTTATTAAACCATATCAATTAATTTTTTCATTTTTATTTTTTTCACTTATAATAACATTAGAAAAATATAGATTTTTATGAAAATTTAATAAGAAACAGATAATATTGTTACTTTCTAATATTGATAAAAAAATATTTCTAATCAATAATTTTTATTAATAGAATTGATTAATTCCTCTTCAAGAAATTCATCAAGACTTGTTATTAAGATATTAAATTTCTCAATTTGTAACAAATCCAAATTATTTTTGTTTTTTTATATAAAATGATTTAAATCTTCTAATTTTAATATTTATAAAGATTTATGAAATTTTATAATTTGTTGATATTTTTTAGAAGCTTTATGTTCTTTTAATTTTTTTTATTTAATATAAAACAATTAATTATTAAATTTTAATAATAAATAATAAAAATTAAAAAAGATAAATTCATAATTATATTGTTTTTAATATCTGTCTTATATAATCTTTTTTATTAGATATTCAGTATAAATTTTTAATATGTATATATTTTGTAAAAAGTTTTATAGGTCTTTATAGCTATATTATTTATTACTCTATATTCTTTTATTGCAAGTATTAAATAATAACACCAGGTATAAAGCTTTAGTAATTGCAAATTACTTTTTTTTTTTTTTTTTTGA